TAGGAGCAAAGTGTTTTCATTTCTTTGGAATTTTGAAACAGCCCCCATGAACTTATTTATCTAGGGAATATCCACAGTCATGGATTTCCCAGAGCCAAGTGAAACTGAACTGTAAGGCAGGATGCTCTGGTAGCCTCATAACTTTGTAATTTATTTCTCTAAGGAAGCCTGGGGTTCTCTTATAGACTGAGTACATTCCATACTTTTTAAAATTTATGCCTAGTAGACTGAACATCCCTTGTTGTAGCACTCTATCACCAAGCTTCTGTGAAACCTAGATCAGCCTCTGAAATCAAATGGAACATTTTCCATTATTGATTAGGCATAGAATCCACTTTGTTAAACTAGTTGAGGGTAATAAGAGACATTTGAGTCATTAATTGAGAAGATGACAGGTCTCTAAATGTGACTACTGTCTTTCACTGGGTCAGCTATTATTTATTCAGTAGAAGAGCCTTTTAGTTTAAAAGTATATGGAGCTTTTTTTGTATGATTGGAAAAAAAAGAAGAATGGATATGTATTTGCAATTTTTAAATTAGATCAAGGAGGTTATATTGCTTGGTTAGAAAACTGCTACTGAGAATAAGGTTCAACCCAAATTGAAGCAAATTTTACTATTTCACAGTCCCAGTTTCCTCCTGTAATTGTGACTCCCTGAAGCCCAATTTCATGCTTTTTGATTTCTAGAGGGACAGATTTCATACAGAAAGGACAGCAAATCAACTGTTAGGGTGGGAATAGACTTTATGATTCACAGATTTGCCCAAGAAGTGAGTTCAGTGCTTTTCAAAGTTGATTCTTTTAAATGGTGGTATCTGATTTCAAGTTGCTCTTTTGTAAAACAGCCAATCATTCTGCTAATGCAAATGAGGTACATACACATGGCTGTCTTGCAGAGTCTCTTAACAGGATGCATTGCTTTTAGTCTCGTAGGCTCAAAACAATATTGTTTAATAAAATACACATCTGCTGAATTTACCAGATTATGAGCAAGTTTCAGCAAAAGTTTTCTCTTACTTCATCAGGAACGACAATCGAATGGTTAGAACCAAAGATACCTTTATCAAATCACTATAAAAATGGAGCTGGCCAGCCTTTTGCAACTGAGCAGAGTAAACCAGTGGCAGTCCCAGAAGACCAGTGTGCTGCAGAATCTGGACTATTAACAAGGGTAAGGTAATGGGAAAATAAGGCTTTGGTGTAAAAATCAGGAATCACTGAAAAGGGTCAGTTCTCTTTTCATTGTCAGGGTATGCAAGTCAGCCTAACACCAGAGCAACATTCTTGTAGACTAACTGCACTGACTTTGGAAGAGGTCTGTTGTATAAAACTTGTGCATATTGTACTTTCCAGGTTAAATTATGTACTCTTTTCAGTGTGGGTTTAATTTTGCATGATAAAAAATGTGTTTAAAATTTTAAATTTGCATGTTTTTCTTTTTCTAGAAAATAGCTTTTCTAATACAAGATTATTTTCATATTTATCTCTTACATTTCTTAATTTAACATTATTTACTAGATGTTTAGTATTATATTTACATGTTTAAAAGTTTACTATTAAGTCTTTTTGATAGTAAGCACTTTACCAAACCAAATTTTAAAAGTGTTATTCTATTTAAAATAGCACACTTAGGATTTAATATTTTTCTAAAGTATTATTCATCCCACATTTCTTAGAAGCTAGAGAGTGTTTTATTCTATTCATAGTTCTACCACTGTAGCAAATCATATTGGCTGTTTTGCCTTTTGAGTTCACATCTGTTATTTTTATGGTTATCATAATTACATAGCTAGTTTTATTTTAAGCTTTTTTTACTTGATACTTCTCATAAGCACTGTTCTATGTTATTATGGCCTATATAATTAAAATCCTAAAGCTTTAAATAGCCTATTGAATTTCTAGGTTATTTGTTATTTTTTGTTATTGTAAGTAGCACTAAATCAACTTTTCTACTGTTTTTTTTTTCCCTCCCCTTTATTTGGATTATATCTTTAGGCTATATTCCCAAGTAGAATCGCTGAGTCAAGAGTAATTCACAGTTTATGGTTATTTACATATTACCAAATTACTTCTTAAAAGAAATACATGACACAGGGACTTCAAAGTTGGCAAAGGCCTTGACTTCATGAGGCAGGCAATGGCAGCAGAGTGGGCAGAGAGTGGGCAAGAAAGAAAAAGGAGGTAATGCTTTTTTTCTGTAGCTTTTTGACTAGCTCATTTGTAGAGTCAATCAGTTAGTAAATATTTATTAAGCTATCTAGGATATGACACGTCCAATGTTAAGAATTAGAGGAGACACAAAAATAGAAGACAATTCTTTCACTGAAGAGACTTAGAATCACAGCACATATGCTCTGAAACAATGAGATGATAATATGAAGCAGCAATTTATTTTTCATCTTAACTGATATTGTTTAGACTGTTGGGATATGGGCATTTAAAGAAAGAGATGTACTGAGTAGAGTGGATAAGGAATGCTTTGGAGAGAAAGTGGAATTGGAGTTGGGGTTCGAAAGGAGATAAGATTTGAAGAGAGGAGTAGTGAGGACGCTGAAGATGGGGAGTACCACAAGCAGGGTTACAGAGGCATGTATACTTATTGTGACAAATACTTGATGGGTTTGAATCCACATCTGGTCATTTACTAACATGTGGACCAATTAATTAACCACTCTTAGCTTCAATTTCATCATCTGTAAAGTAGGGGTAATAATACCTTATAAGATTGTTATGAATTGCTAAATGAATTTAGCAGAGCATCTGGTTTATGGAAAATAATCACATGGTTGTTGAATTTTACAAATCCAGATGACCATTCATGTTGCATTTTATGTGGAATGATAACCCCTGGAACACTACTCCATTGCATACAGTGTAAACTGTGGCTTAAGGAACATAAAAATCATGCAGAAGAATTTAATCTTAATGTGATAGATAATAAGGTCACGAGCACGGGGAGAGATGGGGTATGTTTAAGAAGATTGGTGTATGATATGACTTCAAATTAAAGTGTCAGTAGAAAACTACAGAAGTAGAAGTGAAGGCATGAATTGATCACGTGCATTTCAAATGAAAAATTAGTTGGACTTGTGGTTGACTTGTTATAGGGTTGGATCACAGCAGGGTTTTGAGCCTAAATGACTAGATAAAATCGTGGTGCCATACACAAAGCTAGGAAAATTAGGAAGAAAGAACTTTGTGAGCGAAAAGGTTTAGTATGGTTTATGAACATGTTGAAGAAGAAGATATGTGATTGTAAACATATATAAAAAGCAATTGGAAATAATGAAACTAAAGCTCTGGAGAGAGATCAGGCCTAGAGATATAATTTGCAAGTGAAAAGTTATAAACTATAGGTCATATACTCCATTCTTCTAAATGAGAATACAAAGTATGCTGGAGGTCAGGATAGAGGCAGATGTTTGAGGAGGGGCACAGAGGTGGGGAGGAGAGAATTGCTATCTCTGTTTCCAAATCATCTGAAGTGGTGAGTAGACCAAGTATATCACTTAGTATAAGTAGGAAAAAATAAGCACACATTTTTTTTTTAAGTTACAAAACATTAGAGTCCACTCAAGCATACCAGAATAGACCTGAATTTTCAAAAAAATGTTCATACATGCCTTTTTTGAAATATGAGTGTTAATGCAAGCAGGAAATATATGTTATAGTGGTGGAGATTTTGCTGTCAGGTGATGGAAGAAATAAACCCCAGTGAGGCTAGAACAAAGCTCATGGGTCCGTTTTGCCCAAGTTAGAAATCAGAAGGACAAAAAAGGGGGTTCGTATGAGTTGTAGAATATTGGGGTTTCCCTTTGCCATACAATCTCCAAATAGTATGAATGCCTAGAAACTCAGCAGCTCTTGCCACTGCGTTTGCTAACCATTCTGGGTTTGTAGGGATTTTATACATTTGTGCATGTTTGTTTGAATTTTGGTAATGCCTTTTTTTTAACCTTAAGCTTTTCTTTAAGAAAGGAACGATGACCTCTAAGAAGAGGCATTTTAAAACGAAAGAAGAGCTTCCAAATTTTTCCATTCACACCAGACTTTAGAATCAGTATTTGTTAATAGAATTACTTTTTTTTTCTATTCTAATAAGTAATTTGACTATTTTTATAAAAACAAAAACTGTATTCTTCTAAATAGTTTTTCTGCCAGATGTTTTATTTCTTTAATATTATTTTCATTAGGGGAAACTGCAAAGTAAACTTTATATTATCTAATAATGTTAAGGCTATACTTGCATTATTAATGTGTCCTAGGTTCTGACCTCAATGTAATGTGCCTATTCAAAGGGTTGGGGAACATTATTTAATCAAGGCCTATTAGGTTTTTTTCCCAACATTTCTCAAATGAATAATTATTATATTTGGTATCCAGATGTAGACAGGGGTGTGATCAACTTCTCCCCGTTTTATGATGAGTAAACATTGACAAGTATACTTAAACTATATTGTACAACTGATTTAGGGTAGATAACAGGAAATACTTCCTCACAGACTTACTAGCCATTGAAAGGGGGAATTGAGAAAGCCTTTGGGAGTTTCTCCTGAAGTCATAAAAACAGAAGTAATTCTGATTTATACAAACAATAATTATCTATTTAATCTTAACGTGCGGAAATGGACTAGACTGTTACTTGATTTATCAGAATTTGAGCTACTATAAATTTCTTTGGTAGAAGAAAAAGGAAAAAAACAAAGGCAAAAGAATGATTAGAAACCCATTATCCTTTAACTCTGTCACTGTTTTATATTTTGTTGGGAATATGCTGAGAACATTGAGGTCTTGATTTTAAGGCTAATTAGGATTGGCTTCTTTGCCCAGCTTCATAGAACAGGCTATGCGAAGAGAAAATCAAAGGCAGAGACATCTCTAAAAAGGAACATCATTTACTTTTTTAAATCCTCATGACTTAAAATCTAATACAATACCAAAGGCAGTATATTCATATGAAACTCTCTTGCCCAAAGGTAATAAAAAGAAGTACCATTGACAGAGTTGGGACACTGCCCCCATGTAAGCCTGGAAAGTGACATTGATAAGGTTCTCTAGAATCTTGGGATTTGAAACTGTTCTTTGTTATTTAAATAGAAATAAATAAGAATTTAAGTTTCTCATAACCAATCATTTGGAGCTAAGATGCTGTTGAGATGAATGTAAGTATATTCAATTTTCCAAGGGGTTGTTTTATTGATTGATTGATTGATTGATTGAAGAGCTGTGCAGAGAACTTTTTGTGGCATTAAGATGGCATGAGGAGCTACAGGATTTTCATACCTGCACCTAGAATTCTCTTCTACTGCAAGCTTTCTTCCTGACAACTCCAAGAATGAATGAGTAAATATAGATTACAGTAGTTAAATTTGACATGTATAGTCACTTTAAAATTTTACTTTTATTTATAGTTTTAGCTTAAAAATAGGGCAAATATTTAAGTCTCAAAACAAACTGACCTTAAATTATAGCCAGTGATGTTGTTCCCAAGCAGGTGGTCAAAGCCTACAAAGCCAAAGACTCAGATAAAACATTGTCCACTCTTGTTGAAAAAATCATATTTTTATAAAATACATCCATTATATATGTGATACATATAGCAAAACCGCAACATAGTCAATGTCATGATAATGGCTTCACTGAAGGAAATTTATTCCATGGCCAAATGATGGAAGTTATATTTTCAGAAAGGTTGTTGCCTGTCCTCAGATTCACTTAGGCCCAATATATTGGGTTGTCAGAAAAGTCATGACGCATTTTTGCAATGGAAAACAAACAAAAAAATATGTCATGACTTTTCTGACAACCCAATAAATGCCTTCAAGTCTGATGTTTATACTTTTATTCTTAATGGAGATTAATAAGCATTTGTAAGAAGAGACTTTTGTTTTGCATCAAGGAACCTGAAGAAATAAATGCAGATGATGAGGTGGAGGATACTTGTGACAATAAGGAGGATGACCTGGGAGCTGTGGAAGAGCAACGCAGTGTTATCCTCCATCTCTTGTCACAGCTCAAGCTGGGCATGGATTTAACAAGAGTAAGTAATGGGATGAACTGTCTACAGAGATCATTGGGTCAGGACTGCACCTGTGATCGTTAATGTTGTCAGCTTTTTATTCTTTATGAGTTGGTTTCTCAGTCTCTTGATCAGCATTTCTCATTTTCATAAAAAATTTAATTTCTTATTTTCAAAAAAAAATGCCAGCAGGAAGTTGCATAGCAAATGAAGACCTACAGTATTTTTTTTTTCAGTGCAAAATTAAAGGGGCCCATTAGTAGACAGAACTGGAAAAGGATGTAATCCCACAAAACCATGAAAGGCAATTTATACGTCTGCTTTACTCTTATGTGGATGAGTACATTTTGAGTGTTACCTGTAACAGAGGTCAGCAAACATTTTCTGTAAAGGGACAGAAAGTAAATACTTTTGGCATTGTGGGGATAAGTCTCTGTTGGAACTACATAGCTATTATTTGTAGCTATGAAAGTAGCTATATATAATATGTTAGATTGGGCATGCCTTTGTTTCAACAAGACTTTATTTACAGAAACAGGAGGCCAGATTTGGCCCAAAGGCCATAGTTTACAGACTGTGTCTGAATTAACTAGATAATGGGAATCCTTTCACAATATATGTGTATATCTAATCACCGCAATGTATACTTTAAAAAGCTTATAATTTTGTCAATTATATCTCAATAAGACTGGGGGAGGCTAAGTGTGGTCTGAAGACCAATAGCATCACCATCACTTGAGAACTTGGTAGAAATGCAGAATCTCAGCCCCCAGTCCCAGACTTAGGGGACCAGAATCTGCATTGTAATAAGCTCTCCTTGTGGCTCATGTAAACATTAAAATTTGATTAGCACTGATCTACAGTTTTTAATTTTAGACCAATCTTCTCTGGTCCTTGTTTATCTAATTAGTATGTCTTAATTTATTTTATAACAGTCAATCTATGACATTAATTTAAAAAGGCAATCAGGTTCAAAACCTATATACGTCAAATATTTACTACTGTGGGATTATGTACTTTGAATTACTACTGACAGTACTTTGCGTTAGTATGGGATTTCAAAATTGACTTTAGGAAGTGTGTTTCAAATTGAGGTTTTTTTATGCCAGGGAAAGTAGTGAAGGTGTAGATTAAGAGGTTGTTTGATTCCAATGAATTATTCACCTGAAAATATAATTTAAATAGAGAGCATATTGCCTTTTGCATTCTTGTGGAAGCATTTCAAAATCAATAACTTAACTTTTTTCTTTACTTAGACTTACAGTGATTCTGGGAGGGTTTAAAAGTAAATGGATTGAGGGGGTTCCCTTCTGGTTGCTAGATGGGATGCTACACAATTCATGAATTGCTTACTAAAGCCAATTAGATCTTCTAAAAATAAATACATATGTACATAAATAAATAAATACATGGATTGAAATAATAGCCTACTAAGAAGCAGACATTTTAGGAATTAATAAAGAAACCCATTAACCTTTCATTTAGCCTTAATATTTCAGCTGGGAATCATTTCTAGAAATGTTTTCATATTAGTGGTTCAGAAAAGACTATTTATTATAAAATTGGTTAAAATGAATAGTCATATAAGGGATTTGTTTGGTTATTATGATATTTGCTGTCCCTTAGTAGATTTAGGTTTATAAGGCATAATAAGTACAGTTTGGGATTTATGAGGCATAAGAACATTTGAAAATAATGTGCTGTGATAGTAATCCAGATGGTTAAGCTCTCTCTTGGCATGAATAACTATATGGAATAAAGTTTACCCACATTTGTGCCTTGTTAATTAAAAAGATATATACTTCTTTTAATATTTATATATATAATTATTAGCATTAACCAATCATGAGTTATGAACATTCGCATGACATTTAAGAGTGATACTTTTTGAGCAACGTTAAAGAACCTGGTGACTAAACTGTAGTCACATCCCCCTCCCATCTACAGTAACATGAAGACAACAAATATTTATTGAGCCCCTCTTATGTTCCAGACACTACTAGGTACTAGGACTACAGCAGCAAAGAAGATACCCATGTTCCCAGTCTACATGTTGCCAATAAATAACATACATTTTCCCCATTGTTCATTTTGTTCCTTTTTAAACAATATTTTGAATTTAGTATAATTAAACACTTCACAGAAGGTTTTGGAAAATAAAAGGTTAAAAAATCTGTAATTCTACCACCCTAACAGCACAACTCTCACTTTCTAAGATTCCCTTCCAATCTTTCCTCATATAATTATAGTTCATATCTAATTTTGTTACATTTCTTTTTTCAGTTAATATCTTTTCTTTGTGAAATGTGTTATATATGCAAAAGACTGAATAGAATGCATATAAACATTTCAAAGAAACAACAATAAAACGAATATCCATGTACTCACAACTCAGTTAAATTATAGAACATTGTCAGACTTGTTAGCTCTCTGAGTGCCTGTCCCAGTTGTAGTCCCCTACTTTTTTCCTGTATATGTTATAGGGTATATATGTACCCTACAACAATGTTGCTTAGTTTAGAAAAGAGCGAATAGCCAGCATAAGCTTAGCTGTATAATGAAAGGGCTATATTACCATTTATAGAAGAAGGCTCCCAGAATATAAACTAAACAGCCTCTGGCTTCAGCTTTTTATAAATTCTTGAAAAATTTTTAGAAGAGTCCTTTCAGAAGAAATCAGAAGTTATAGTTGTAAATGACTTCTGTGAAATATTCAGGTCACAGAGTGAAAGCATTTGGTGTGAGCCAGATACTGGACATCCAAGCAGGAATGTAGGCACAGGGAGTGAGTGAGCTGCTCAGTATTTATTGCTTCTAAGCCAAACTGTGACCTCAGCAGTAGACTGAAGTGACAACACCTCTGTGGGTAAAATGAGTGTCTTCAGACAGTCCAGACGACGGTGCCATATATTGGTATAGGATTCTTTTTATCCATTGTCTCTGGGCATTTGGTTGGCCTTTTCAGTATGACAACTCGTATTCTTCAGTTCTCTGAAATCTTGAATTATTTCATTGATGATTTTCTCTCTTCCATTTTTTTTTCCTGTTCTCTCTGAAACTTTTATTTCATGACTCTTGGACTTCCTGGTATTGTTTCTCTTCTTTTCTCGCTTTCATTTCATTTTAAGCATGGTTTTTTAAAAATTATTTTTATGAAAAATTTACTTACGTATAGTAGGTAAAAGCACGTTTATTTTTTTAATGAGACCAGATACTTTTGTGACTTTGTTTTTAATACCCATCTATAATGAAATATTTTCACAGAGGCAAGAATAATGTCTACAGATAAACACATTGGATTAAAATTTCCCTTTTTGGTTGATTTTGTTGTTATTGTTGTAGGTGGTGCTTCCTACATTTATCCTAGAGAAGCGTTCCTTGCTGGAAATGTATGCAGACTTTATGTCTCATCCAGACCTGTTTATAGCCATCACTAATGGAGCCACAGCTGAGGACAGAATGATTCGTTTTGTTGAGTACTACCTTACCTCATTTCACGAAGGCCGCAAGGGAGCCATTGCTAAGAAGCCGTACAATCCTATCATTGGAGAAACATTTCACTGTTCCTGGAGGGTGCCAAAAAGTGATGCAGCATCCAGTGTTACTAGCAACTCTTCCATCCAGGCAGTCACAAATCATGCTCCTCTATCAGAGGAGGCTTTGAGCCAGGTGGGACCAGACTGTTACACAGTCAGATTTGTTGCTGAACAGGTTTCCCATCATCCTCCAGTCTCAGGATTTTATGCAGAATGTGCAGAGAAGAAGATGTGTGTAAATGCGCATGTCTGGACTAAGAGCAAATTTTTAGGCATGTCGATAGGCGTGACAATGGTTGGGGAAGGTAAGTAGAATAATTGTTTTTCAATTTTTAATATCAAACTATAATCTTAAGTTTGGGGAAGCAAGATAAATATTACTTATAAATTTGAAATGTTATGTATATTACTTTTCCCCCCTAATTCCTAGTGTGTTCCAGAATGCTGGTGGGAAAGGGGACTTAGCTATGGAAAAATATAAATTTTCTTTTTAACATGATTTTTTTATGATTTTAAATATAAAATGTTTTTATAGTAGAAAATTTGGAAAACTTAGAAAAATATCAAGGAGAAACTAAAAGCATCTCTAATTCCTCCATCCAGAGATGGATCAATTTAGCTAGTATTTTGTATTTTTTCTATGTGTGTATGTTCGTACTTTTATTTTTATAAAAGTTTTATAAAATTAGGAGTAATTCTCTTCATATAGTTTTGTGTGCTGCTTTTTTGCACTGAATGTTCATATTTATAACATTAGAAAATGGTTTTTTGTTTACAAAAAAAGTTTGCCACCTTCAGCTATAAGCTTTTAACATTAACTCTAAGCTCTTC